GTAGGAGCAGCAGACAGATTGAGGGGGAGCAGCGTGCATGAATCAGGTGTATTGTGGTGTGAAGGTGGTATGGTCGGAGCCCAGGAGACCTGAGCCCACAGGGACCCTCTCTTCTCAGCCCGGACCTTAGAGGCCCTCCACAGGGAGCTGATAAAGATGTAAGGACAGGAGGCCTCCACACAGGGCTCTTTATGAAAGGAAAATGGATATTGTGTTGAGAGCATACCTGCACTGTACCTGCTCCTGAAGCTCAGTGTGATCTCTTTAAACTCCCCTGCCTGACCGCCCCGGTGCATCTTTTAGCCTCGGTTCATGTTTAACTGTTCCATTTTTGTTGTTGTTCTGTCTCTCTCCTCGCCTCAACACCTGTAAAGAGAGGTTTAACACGCCTTCCTGTAATTTATCTGTGGTTATTGATTGTCCGTAACTTATTGGACTTTTGTCAGACAACCCCACCCGTTGTCCTCTCCTTCTGTCTTCACATGACCGTCAGCTTTCACCCTGTTTGTTTTCTTATCCTTTTTCGAGGAGGAATCCTGCAGGTGTTATTGTTGCTGCTTTAGATTTATGTGAAAAAGTGGGTCAGCGTGCTCTAGGGAGAGGGGTGAGGGGTGTTTTACGGTGTTGTGGTTCAAAGCACTTTATTGACATAAAAGCACAGGGAAGAAGACGACGCAGAACTGTCCAGGCAACCGTTCACCCTTGCCTTTGTCTTGACCTCAAACTTCCAATTGTCTCCTTCCTCCCACCCTGGTTCCAGCATCCCCTGACATTTCTGGAGAATTTATGAAGTGCCGAAATGATTCTTGTCAATTTCCTGTCGGGACCGCTGCGGAACACAAACACACAGAGCCATGAATTACAGAATCCATGTGCCATCTTCTTTCTTTTCTTTCAATACAACAAGGTCACAAAAACTTTCCAGGTTCTCTAACAAAAACAGCAAAAATCACTTCTCTTGTCAATTACCTTCCCACATTTCCTCCGTCCTCCTCATGCAGTGCACTCTTACGTTTATGGTTCTTGTTAAACAGGGTTAGACACGCCAAAACACTCACCGCTCCCTTAACAAAGAAGACCACTGGAGTGCTGCGCTGGTTTTCATAACCTCTGACCTGTTGTCCACTTCATGCAGTGCCCAGTTAAATCACTGTGGCAGTTTAATGCCCGTACGTGTACACTTGAAACCCTTCTTCACCCCGACTGTACGTAAGTCTTTAGCCTCAGTCGTGGTTTAAAGAGAAATATGCAAATGCTTCACCCTTTCGGACTCCCTCCCTCGGGTGAACTAATCCAAACCAAACTGATGACTTTACGCTTGTATTATTTAGGAGGCTGCAGGGAGAGCACGGGATGAAAACAATTAAATGAAACAATTCATCAAATCAACATGTAAGACATGCCTCTACACACTTGTGCCAGATACTTAAAGTGATGCATTGTCAGTGTGGTTTTTGTGTGGTCTGTCTGCTGCCTTCTGTCATATTTCAGCACAAGTGCTGTGATGGATATATTCCTTGAAAATATAACAAATACATAGACCACAGGTTTAAGTGTTTGAGCTGCTTTAATGACATGGTAGTAGAAATAAAGAAAGCTAGCTACGTTACCTGTGTGGCAGTTACAATTAACAGAGTTGGCTCTAGATGTTTTGCCTCCCAAAGTCAGATTATAGTTTGGCAACCGCAACTCCCCCGTGGCAATTGTTTATTTTCTCTGAGAGAGAGCAGATGGTGCTCAGATAGGCAACCAGCTATACCAAGACTCTGACCATTAACCTGAACTTACCTGTGCTTGGGTTACGATAGGGAGGAATATTAAAGTCAAGGAAGTGGTAAGCAAAATGACAAAGATTGCTTTTTTTATTGTCAAAGACATGAGAAACAACATTGAAAGAAATTTCAGGTGAACTTGAAAAAATACTTTTTTGGAGCGTTTCCTTTGAGCCAGCAGCCACATCGCCCAAGTACATCAAAGCAGCTGACCTTCTGCAGGACACACAATGAGGCCTTATTAGAGAGGCAGGTTGAAGACAGCGCAGGAGGAGCAGTGAGCGAAGGAGCTGCACAGGAAGAGAATGTGAAATATTTGTAAAATTGGATTCAGTGACCGGTAGAACGACAAAGATTGCTTGTGTGTGTGTGTGAGGGCACACACGTGCTGCTACTGTTTCTCTGACTTTCAAACATGAAATATCTGTAAAAATGTCCATGCACTGTTTTTTAACATGTTGATGCTTTCAACTCATTACATTAACCCACGTTCCCAAAGTAGGAGAATTTTTTTTTGCCTCACTAGTAGTGCATTGATTTGTCATTTTAATCATGCAATGAAAATAGCTTTTTTTAAAAAAAATATGTTTAAGATAAATCAGTAGGTCTGAATGTGTTGATCTTGGAGGGAAACACGCCACCAACAGAAAAAAATAACCAATGAAGTAGTAATTAGAGGTCACAGTTTGCCTGTTCTCTGGGGTGTGAGTTTTATAGATAGATAGAAAGTAATTACTGCTGTTTTCATAAAAACACTGACCTAATGCCCTGTGCACTGGTGTACTGTGTGGTGTGATCTCACCTTTTCCTGCCACCCTGACCTTACACTTCTCTCTGTTCCACAGACGAACATGATGCCGTACAGAAGAAAACCTTCACCAAATGGATAAACGCTCAGTTCTCCAAGGTGACGGACCTCGTGTCGTGAGGCTTGTTGTCGATTACCTACAACAACTGTGTTTGTGTTACTGTGAGCAGCGGTGACTTTCCTGGTCTGGATTTCAATAATGATTTTTTTGTTTTTAACAGTCAGGGAAAACACCCATCAAAGACATGTTCTGTGACCTGAAGGATGGGAGGAAGCTGCTGGATCTTCTGGAGGGTCTCACTGGCACAGTCCTGGTGAGTTCTGTCCATGTGATGACTCACAACATCTTTACCATAAAACATAAACAGTATATATAGCCTCATGTACCATTAATTCAAACTGCTGCTGTGCACCTGATACATCTTTGATTGGAGTAAGCCCCTATAGCTTTACTTACACCACATATATATAATATACACACATACTGTAAATCTGCAGACACATACACACAGATACATGCTCTTTGCTGCCATAATGTTGTTTCTATAATTGGGTATTTGCTGTATGCTGCTGGCAGCCTCTCATCCTGCCACTCTCTCCATACGCCGGCCTGTAGCTGCTGCTGTTGGATGATGGGTGTGCAGGGGTCACAGTCTGCTGAGTGATAGTGTATCTTTGCTTTGTGTTGACATAAAGCCTTTTTAGCATTTACTTTGTAAACAAATACAAGGATTGTAGTCATAATTAAATCAGCAGATGATTGGATCCACCTCTGATCTGTTGACCGATATATTTGCTTGGTTCTCTCTCTCTCAGACCAAAGAACGAGGCTCCACCAGAGTCCACTCTCTCAACAACGTCAACAAAGTACTTCAAGTCCTGCATCAAAACAACGTGAGTAGCCGGTGTGTTTTGGTTAAATATGTGGCTCCCACACCATTTAAATCAAATGAACTTCCTCCATATACACACTATATACAGTACACACACACGGGAAGTAATGACTGATTTAACAGTCGATTGTTCACTGTTCAATCTACATCGTGTTCTGTAATTTTTCTTTGTCCGTTCGCCTCCCTCGCTCATTCACTCCGTCACTCCTCCTCCTCCTTTGGTACAATGCTGGTTCTTAATGCCTTGACCTTAACAGTGGGAGATAAGGGGCAAGGCATGCTCATGGGAAATAGTGCAGACTCAAGTGGGCACATAACCCCCTGCTGGTTGGTCCATGGCAGGAGCCAAAAACTGTCAGCTGGCGTTGAGGGGTCTGAAAAAGAAAAAGAGAATCTTTCTGTGTAGAACGCTGGCGTTGAGGGGTCTGAAAAAGAAACGGAAAAAGAGTTGAGAATCTTTCTGTGTAGAATACTTTTCAGGTTCAAGTATTTTATAGGCCAATTAACAAAGAAAACTTCATCAATTTGTTTCAGAAAAACTTGGGAAAGAGAATATAAGTTGGGGTTCCTAAATCAGCATGTGCACTTGTAACAGCTGTAACATCAGTAACAATAAAATAAAATAACAGGAGAATGTTGAGCAGTCAGGACTTTTTCCATTGTTATGGCCTCACTTCACTGAAATGTTTTCACTGTCAACTAAACTGTTCTCTGCCTTCCTGGAGACTAGTGTGGGATTATGGACCCCCGTCTGTGTTGTCTCATGACCAGAGGTGAAACATGTGCCAAGGGTCACGGGGTTAGAGCTGGAGGATTTAGGTTGCTTTAAAAGCCGTGGTGAGAATATTTCAGAATTAAGACGTGCACACAGATGATGTTGGAGTGTTGGGACTGATTAGGAGTAAAGATAGGTCAGAGGTCAACTCTGTGATGGACTGGAAGGTCCCTTAATTGTTTCCCCAGACACTTGACCTCACGCTCCACCCTTGTGTCTTGATCCTCTCTAAAATATTTATACGTAATCACAGCGTACTGCTGGCAGGACCCGACAAGTATGCAGACGTGCTGACCATGAGACCACGAACCCCCACTTCAACCTCTCATTTTGTCTTTCAGGTGGATCTGGTGAACATTGGAGGGACAGATATTGTGGATGGGAACCACAAACTGACCCTGGGTCTCATTTGGAGTATTATCCTCCACTGGCAGGTGAGCAGTCACACACACACACACACACACACACACACACACACATGGTTCCTTCCTTTTACCCATGGTCTGCAAATACACACTCATTAATATTTGCTGCCTGAATTCACTGATGTCCTTCTCCCCGGGGGAGGTGAAGTGAAGAAGATGGAAAATAGTAGTGATGATGATTGTATTTTTGAGGACCAGTTCAAGTTGACACAGGGACACAAG